ACTTTTATTGGGAGCTCTTATGTCTCATCACAATCCATACATTCATCCATTGTGTCAAGCACATTTGTACATTTGTTGCCATCATTCTCAAAGCACTTTCTTTCTACTTGAGCCCTTGGTATCAGCTCATTTTCCCCTCCCTCCCTGGCCCCTCTCCCTCACAGACCCTTGATAACTTATAAATTATTATTTATCATGTCTTTTTTTTTCTTTTTCATTTTATTTCATTTCATTTCATTTGCAGCTGTTATAACAATCCATACATCAATTATATCAAACACATTTGTACACATGTTGCCATCATCATTTTCAAAAAATTCTCTTTCTGCTTGAGCCCTTGATATTAGCTCTTTTTCCCCCTCCCTCCTGTACCCTCCCACCCTCTTTGAACCCTGGTAAATTATACATTATTATTATTTTCATATCTTACAGCATCCCCTGGTGGGTGGTTGATCGTTGTAGTCGGTTCCCTGTTTCTCCCCCTTCCCCGCACCTTCCTCCTATTCTAATGGTATCACTCTATCATGTCTTAACACTGTTCGGCATCTCCCTTCACCCACTTTTCTGTTGTCCATTCCCCAGGGAGGGAGTTATATATAGATCCTTGTGATCGGTTCCCCTTTTTACCTGACCTTCCCCTTATCCACCTGGTATCTGTACTCTCATTGTTGGCCCTGAGAGGGTTATCTACACTGGATTCCCTGTGTTGCAAGCTCTTAGCTGTAGCAGTGTGCATGTTCTGGTCAATCCGATTTGTAAGGTACAATTGAGGTCATGATGGGGGAAGGAAACATTAAGGAGCTAGAGGACAGTTGTGTGTCATTATTCAGAGTTTTCTAATTAGCAAAAGCATAATATGTAGATAATATTTCCTGACATTCTCTTGCTTTAAGGCTGTACTAATTTTAACATAAAGCATGTAATTTCATAACGATGCCCTAAAGAACCACCACGACCACTGCCCACTCATGCTATCAAGTCCATTCCTGCTGATAGCAGCCCTGCGGGCAGGAGTAGATCCACTCTGTAGGGCCCTAAGATGACAAGTTTTTCTGGGAGCAAACAGCTTCAACTTTCTCTTGGGGTGAATAATGCTTAACCCACTGCACCCCAGGAGATCTGTGTTCCTCAAGTTTCAATATTTCTATCAATCACTTAAACAGTCTTGTTCAAGTGTAGATTTTTATTTGATATTTCTTAAGGTGGAACCTGAGTTTCTTCATTTCTAACACAAACTCATGTACTGACGCTAGGTTTATAAACTGCATTTTGAGAAATTACTCAGAAGGTTACAGTAACATTTAAAATGTATGCAGTAATATCAGTACTCACATTCTTTACTTGAGTTGAGAGACAATATCTGCTTTTATAAATGAAAGGATGTTAAAAATAAATTTTTACCAATTAAAATGTTGATTATAATATATTTCTTTTCTAGATCATGGAGAGTTGCTTGGAAGCTGTCCAGAAGAGGAGGCTCTCACTCCAAGTGATGAGTCTATGGAAGGAATATTAGATGAGTCTTTACTTGAAACCTGTCCCATTCAGTCACCCTTACAAGTTTTTGCAGGAATGGGTGGATTGGCTCTTATTGCAGAAAGGTTACCCATGCTGTATCCAGAAGTCATTCAACAGGTAAGATAAGATTCTTCATTCAAATGTATTATTCCACAGTGAAGTCCTTCATCCTTGTGTTTTAAATACATTGACTTAACATTAACCTTCAGTAAGTATTACCTTTCCTTTACAATCCTTGAGCATTGTCTAAATCTTTCAAAGGTCAGCTTACATAGAACTTTGGGAAATTAATTGATAGCTAAAGAAATCACCAAGAAAGAGCATATTCGTATTTGCTGAACTCATTACACTTTAATATTTACCTTGGTTTCGTGTCATAGTAATATCCCTGTTTGTATACAGCTTTAAGTGTGCTATTGATTATAGATTTTGGAAATGGGAAAGAAAATGATAATGGACATAATTACCCAAATATACTAATCTTTTCATTAACTTTTTATTCCTGATGTTTGGACCATTTCCATTTTAATTAGTTTAAAATGCATTACTTTAAACAATGTGGTTCTCCTCACTGGCCCATGGCCCTGCGGGGGACAACACCAGGAACACAGTGTGGGAATTGCGCCTGATCTGACCCCGCCATGCCGAGGCAAGGCACTGGGGGGGGGGGGGGGTGCAG